TATTTAATTACCCTTTAAAAATGTATATTTATATTTGCATCAATATTCTAAAGCCCAAAGCCCAATGTATATATAAATTTTGATTTGGCCTAAAAGTATTACCGGTCCACTACAATCTCAATCGGCCTTCAATTTGTCCACCCTCACTCCCTCGACTCTCGCTCTCGCCTCGCTCACGGAACTCACGAACAGAAACCGTTTCACGAATCGAAATCGCAATCGGCCTTGATTCAATTGGCTCTCGCTCTCACTCTCTACCTTTCTCGAGTCTCGACTATCGACCGCTGACGGCCGACCGGCTCTCGGCCTCTCGCTCTCGCTCTCGCATCTTGTGGCTTGTGAGGTTAGGGTTATTTACTTTACTTATTTCATTTCTTATGTTTCTAATTCTTGTTTGATTGCAAAACCTAAGTATGATGCTGTGAAATTGGTCCTTTGTGGTTTGTCATTTGTGTTTCTAGTATTGTTACTGTATCACTGATTCACTGTATGTCTGTATGAATAATGTTAATGTATCATGTATGCCTAAATCCTAATTGAAATCCATGYCTTTTGCTGCCAATCTACCATTTGTTAATTGAGGTCCAAATTTCTTTACCTAACATCTGTTAACAACTCCCTAGGACAGCTTAAACAACCTCTAAATGTGGCCCAAAACAGTCTCGAAACAACATCCAAATAGTCCCTATTGCTGCTGATTTTTTTAGACACAAATCGACCTCTTTAGCTGCTAATTTTTAGCCACAAAACAACCCCTAGCTGCTGATTTTTAGCCCAAAAAAAACCCCTTTAGCTGCTGATTTTTACCTCTAAAAGTCAGTCGAGTGGGTGTATTGGACCTGCTTGGACCTTAATCTGTTGCTGTATGCATTACTACTTAATACTCGTTGAATCTCTGCAATAGTTAATTTGTGTCCATCTTATGTATATAATGTACTTATACTAACAATTGCAGCATCTATTATGTTATGGTTATTTTTTTCCATTGTTCCATTATACAAAGTTTCAGAGGCTTTATCTTCTTGTAAACTTCATATTTTTACTGAAACATCTGCACTGACRTCTATGATGATGATTGGCAGAAAACCAAAGWAATYAGGAAGTGGATCCTCRTTAGATGCAAWATTTGGAGAGGTTTGATGTCAATTAAGATTTTTCTAAAATAAGCTTCGAGTTTTTGCTATAAAAATGTGGACGAAAAAACCAACTGATATTGTGTATTAGATCYCGTCCTGATAAAAAGAAACTTTCCATGCCATTGGAGTTTTGTCAAGGAATTTATGATTATATAGATTGCTTAAAGTTGGCAAGATATTCTGGTGGAGTAAATTTTGCTCAATAACCATTAGTTAAGGGATGATATATATTCAGCTTTTCTTTTCAAATTGTTGTATACACTTGTGTCTACTGTTGCATTTTAAAGATATGTTCACTTTCATGTTTCTCTTGGCATGAACCAGGTCATACATAATTCAATGATATACTTTGTCGATGAAATTGGACCTTCTCCTTCTGCTCAAAGTGTAGTATTGCGTGATCTGCCTCTTCATGATGTGGGTCAGCATCCTCTCTAGCATTCTACCTTGTTTTTGCAGTYCTTTTTATTCAAGTGATCATACACAATATTTTGTTTCAGGTTATGTGGTTGATATCATGTTGGTTGGGATTATTCACCTTTGCACTACACTTAAATCTGTTCCAAAATAATTTCATTTGTCTTTTTTCATTTCGATGTCAATGAATCCAGTATRAACTTAAATGTTTATATGAAAATCATGTAATAATTGTATCGTGACTGCGCTTTTCTATGTTATAAATGAAAGCTTGTCATGATGGCGAATATGATAAAGGACCAAAAATTTTACCCGGTAAGAGCGAGACAAGTACCAAGAGTCATATCCAGTAAGTGAAGACAACGACTTTTACCACGGTAAGCACTTACCAGGTAAATTGTTGCATACGATGTCATTTTGGTGAACTAAAATCTTACCCGGTAAGAAAATGATAGTGTAAAATTTTACCGATAAGAACTTACTGTATAAGTGTTTGGTAAACGTCCCCTCCCTCTAAAAAGTTCTTTCTGACTGATGGACCAGGCGTATATTATAGCTTTTATTGGTTGGTCATTGATCCAACCAATATGTTGTCATTAAGGAGATTTTCTGTGTTTTTTGGGCTTGATATTATAGCCTTTATGATGATAAGAATTGTTGGCATATCATGTGTAGACCTCTGTCTTTATGGAATCAGATATGATGTTTCTTATTTCTTGTTCTGTTGTTGGAGCTACTCTTGACAGATATTAGTTGCATGACTCGAAGACGACCTACTTAAACAACAAACATGTATACTTATATTCAAGAAACCTGCTTTTCAGAGTACCAATCTCTCTTTAAGGCAAGAAAAGTTATAAATATCGTATATTTTGGCGCATTTCAGATAAATATGATATTCCCTAKTTTTTGTTTCGGTATGATTTATCTCTTTTCTTTTATCTTTTTCAGATCGATTTCATTCAACAGTAACGACTACTTTGTGAGGCTTAAAATGGAGAACATGAAACTTAAAATTGAATTTAAATTTTAAATATTCAGTTTTGTAATGAAATGTTCTGATGGCTTATTGACTTGTTGCAGATAAAGAGSCAAATTCGCACTGTTTGCAGTTCACAKGAAATTGTTGCATTATGGCTAKCACCTTTACAAACACATGGTAATTAKAAGGGGCTTTCGTTGTCTATGCCAAGTAACAAATGTTGTTCTACTATAATATAAGAAAAAGTTAGAAAATAGATGGGAAGTGATAGGTTGAGYATCAAGTTTTCTGAGGWGTTCAGGGAGGATGTTAAAAAAATGGATGTWTGGATTGATTGAACGTTAGAGATTGTTTTGAAAAATTCTTGTCTTTTATATGGTAAATGTATGAAATTTATTGSTTTGAGATTTTTATGTTGTTTTTGTKGATTGATATTATTATWTATAATATATAATTATATATAAATACAGGGCTGAAATATGGTTGAAAGRAAATAATATGCTCTTTAGAGAAGGAATCGATGTTTTAAAAGTTCATCTAAAGATAACCTTTAGAGAAAGTTTTGATTATTTGTATCTAAAGATAACCTTTGGAGAAGGTTTTCAAAATAGTAAAATGTACTAAAGACAATACCTTTAGAGAAGTTTTTTTGTAAACCTTCTCTGAAAGTATTTTTTAGAGACGTTTCTAAACTGTCACAAATACTTGAAAAACGTCACTAATAAATACTTTTAGAGAAGCTTTTTGAAAAAAGTTGACTCACCTTTAGAAAAGTTTTGAAAGTGTATCTAAAGCCCCCAAAAAAGCGTCTCTAAAAGCTAACAAAAGCGCACCTTCCGAAAACTCTCCCTAAAACCTTTACCTACCGTTATATAGAGAAGCATTGTGACGGAATTGAAAAGCTTCTCTAAAACCTTTAGAGAAGCTTTTAATATTTTTAAGCTCAAAACAAAACCTTCTCTAAAATCCTTTTATCTTGTAGTGCCACCTGATCAACTAAGTAGCCTGAAAAGCACAACAGCCTGACATAAGACTACTTTCTAGACTTAGAAGCGACTAATTCAATCATAGACATTGGCTTCAATAAAAAAATCCATGAGTTCCCATTCTCAACATTGTTAGATCATGCTTAAATTACTACATATTTCAATGACAAAAAAACTGTAACGTGTACATTTGGTAGAATACATACGTTGTCATTCAACAATCTTGCACATACTGCGTTTTAATCTATTGGTTATGTGGCTCAATGATGCAGCGGGAAGTGTGGAAAGTTGTTTCTCCTCTTTTGATGTAGGATTTTGAAGACAAGTCGTGCTTCTTTCAAGCCCAT